GATGCTCAGTAAAATACTGAGGGCACAGAGAGGCTCAGAAAGGATCCCATCCTCTTCTAGAAGAGGGGGAGCACAAGAATTCCAGCATTCTTACCCAGCTTTGGTGCCTTTCAAGTGAACCAACATCTCACTCCTCAGTGTCTCAGCTGAAGCTGCACCTCTAACATGCCTCTTTTCCTCTCATTATTACTGTCAATTCCTGACAGTTCTAAATTGCCTCCCTTGTCAAGTTCCTTCAGTCTCTTACAGCCAGAGAGATCCTCTAGCATGAAGCTGAAGCAGTGAAGCCAAGCAGTTTCCTCCTGGCCATCACATCAGACCTGCACTGAGTTCCCCTCTGCCTTGCCCAGATGAGGTTTCTCAGTGCATGCTCCTGCCTTCTGTGCGATCATGACACCTTCTAGCACAATCATTTAATCCAGTATCAATCATTGCTACATCACACATTTCCTAACTTCTGCCTTCCTGAGTTTTCCACCTCAGTTTCTTGTCATCTATCAGTGTTTCGTACCCGATGTTGAAAGTAACAAGAGAGCAGCAACTGAACACCTTAAAATAAAAAAATTAAATAAAAAAAAAATAAAGTTGTTTTGCCAGCTAGGAAATCCTACAGCAGAAACTAAGGCAACTCTAGTGTTAGACCCTGAAAGAGGACCAATTTTAGAAGAGTGAGGATTTAAACTCTGAAGAGATTAAATTAGAACACCTTCCAGGCAGCAGCTGATCCTTCACAAGGTCAGAGGATAACAATATACACACACACACTTGCCAAAAAGCACCTCTCAGTGTCACTGAGGCTCTGGCTGTTTTCTGGGGACAAGAAGCTGAGTGTGGGTTAATCCCAGTACAAGCCCACCTTCCCTCAAAACCAAGTTCCTGAGACAGATTATTGTTTTGCATGTTAGAAATGTTGCTAATTATGCCTTGGGTAAGGAAATCTAATACATTCATGTTCCATTTACATGTTTTAAATAACTGAAAAAAAACACTTTTTACTTTCTTTCTTTCTTCTCCACATGTGTTTTGTTCTTGTTTCTTTCTTTGTGAACATGAGAGAAAGAACTGGGAAGATTTTGACTGTGGAAAGTAACACCCCTGACTATTTGAAATTTCTTATGTAAAAATAGAGTTACTCTGGGGTAATGGTGGTAGGCTTGAATTAAGTATATCCAGTTAGTATTTTCTAATTGGATATACTTAATTCATATTTAGTAGTAAGCACTCATAGGAAGGATATTTTTATCCAAACTCAGCTAATTTTAACATTCTTACAAGTGGTTTTTCCTTAAACAGAAACTACATACAATACTTAACCTGAGAATCAAATTTAATTTTTATGCAGAACACCTGCATATAAGAAATAGAGGGAAAAACTGGTTTCTAATTGTAAAAAATATGCTAAAATGGCTGTCACTGATTAAGACACTGAATATACTAAACTGGGTTTTTTTTAATTAGGAAGAAAACATTTTATATTTTAATATATCCACTTATGTCTAAAAATTTCCTTCCGTCTCATCAAATAATACAAATCAGCCTTCTTTTTCATAAGACACAATGTTCAAATAGGAGCTGCAATCCCCTGAAAGCAAGAGGTTAAAAAAAATGTACTAACAGAAATAAAAATAATACACTGAATATTTTAATAACTGGACTAAAACTGTACAAAAGAAAAATTGCCAAAGATCCAGTCAAAACCCAACAATATGCATAAACACCAACATGAACAACACCTCTAAGTTTAACAGACCAAGGCTACTTTGGAAAAGCAGATGTGCTGTGTAGAACTAGGGCTCAAACAGACAAAAGGGGAAATCTGTGCTCTTTAATTAACTGCATTCCTCCATCACTTCAGTGAAACGATCTCCAGTTGCTCCTTGAGTGGCACTGTGTTTGTGTATTAGTACCTAGCATTTTGGAAAGCTGCTGTGCCTGTGAGGTTTGGGTTCAGTGATGCACTGTCTCGGCTGCACTCTCAAAAACTGAAGGCAGTGACAGAATTATGAGGGACCAGTGACCAAGACCACCCTTCCTTCCCCAAAAGCACAGCTGAAGGCCTGGGAAGGAACAAGCAGCCCTTGCAGACAGTTGTTATCACCCAGGGATGAGCACAAACACACCCCAGCAGTCACACAGAACAAGCAGCACAAGCACCTCCCCTCTTCCTGAGCTTGGAACTAACCCCTGTCCGTCTGCAGTCTCAAGCTGACCCAATTCCAGAGTCCTGGAAAACAATGCATTCCACTCCTCCACTGAGACTGAGACTATTAATAGAAGTGTAAGAGCACACACCAAGTTCCTTTCCCATCAGAAGCCAACAGCTGCACAGGAGAAAAAGCGTGGCTCAGACTCCAGAGTTTCTTGTATCTGAGACTCTTCCCCTGCTTAAAACCCACACCCCCAGAGGGCACACACCGAGTCAGCTCAAAACTGAACACAAAACTCAGGTCTCAGCTACTTCACCTGCCCAGTGTTCAAACTGGCTTTGCAATTCCCCGGACAGAACATCACAAGCTCTCCCTGAGCTGACACCGAGCACGTCTCACACAGGGAGAAAGTTCTTCTGAGAACTGCTAAAATAGCCAGTGTCATCTTGACCTGACAAAAAGAGCTCAGTTCTTCTTCAAGTCAACTCTATTTTCCACTGCAGAGAATCATTTTCTAGCTGAAGTACCAAAAAGACAGTGAAGTAGAATTAGGAATGTTAAATTAAGAATTTGCAGCTTTCAACTGCTTCATATTTAAGATGCCTACCCAACATACAGAACAATTAAAACCTCTAGTCAGCAACTCTGTGGGCTTAGTATCAATTAACTTGTACTTCCATTACAATTAACATTCCATATTTTCTATATTTCTAAGGCACTGAATTCTATCCTTGCATGTATTTTAAGATCCAGACTAAATATCTGACATTTGAAAGAAGAGGAATATAATTTCCAGTACTCTGCACAACTCACTACTTGACAAACACTTGTTAAGAAGTGAGAAGAGAGAAAAATGCATCAGCCTGCAGACAAATAGAGCACCACACAAGTGCCAGTTCAGATCATTTATGACACCAGAGTTTAACATTCATTCATTACTCCTGACTAAAGGCTATTTTGTTAAATATTTTGTCCTCTAGAAGAGGACAATGACAACACTGATGTGATCCTATGATGTGGCTTTATGTTCTTACTGCTCTCACATGTTGCTATGGGCCATCTGTGGCAAAATGCAGCATTGTATCATCATCAAAAACCAGCCTTTTTTGTTTCAACATAATTGTTTATATGCCCTTGACTCTGGAAAGAATGTTCATTGTTGAGCCTTAATACACAAACCAGAGCTGAGCTGTCTTCAAATTAATACTCTCCACCTCATTAATGGATATTTAGGTAGAGAAGAACTAAGGATGGTTAATCCCATTTCATGCCCTTTGAAAATACACATTTAAATGACACTTAGCTTATACCCTAAGCAGAAAGAGTTGGGGTGGCATTTATAATCCACAGAACCTCCCAATTTCCTTACACAGCAGAGGTTAATATCACTGCTATCAAGATTTTGGAATTACCTTAGTCTTATCAATAGGTCTACTTCTCAGAAGGAGTGTTTTGTAGCAGTTGGTTATCATACAGATTTACAGCTTCAAACACTAGCATGTCTAGAAATAGCTCCACTCAGGCCCACAGGGTCATCATCAGATGGCCTCTGATGAGGACTTCAAAAAAAGTAGCAAACATCCCTATCCACAACTCAAGACAGAAGAAATCAGAACCACAGAACATCTTGTTCAAGAAAATCCAGCAGACAGAGCTGACAACAGAATCACAAGCTCCTGTTTTTGACATCCAAGTATTACTCTATCCTGCTTGATATATTACTAGAAAAAATAATGGTCATGGTTTGAATTTCTTAAATTTGCAGCAATGGCAAAGGCAAAACATTTCAGGACCTATCAAGGCTTTGAACATGCACAGCTTTTTAGTATTATTTAAATTATTACAACTTGGTAAATGCAGCAATTGAAATACGATGAGTTTTTCTACTAAGTTTCAGCTCACTCTTCCCTCCTGGTTTCATTAAGCCACTAAGAAGTAAAAAGCTGCTCCTGGGTGCCTTCTGTTGCCATACACAAAGAGCTGCTTACTGAGGGGCAAAACCTTTACTCCACCGTGGAGCTCAGTGTACCCCTGAGAGATCATCAGTTCTCAGAGTGGGCTGTGCCCCACGCTGAGCTGAGCTGCATTTGGACCTTCCTATTTACAAACACCCAAATGTGCTTCATCTGGTACAGCTTTCTGCATGTCCTCGGGTCATCAAGGACAGTGAAAGAAGTCTCAGTCTTCTGCAGGACAGAAAGCCCCACAGAGACACAAAAGACACAGAAATCAGTTCCCTGTGATACAGGGATGCAGAAATAGCAGAAAAATACGTGCAGCATGTTATTGCCCAATACGGAGCCATTCAGAGTACATCCTTCTTGGTATTCTGCTCTACAGCAGCCAGTCTGCAGTTTATTCCTCTCTTACATTTCTTGCACTTTCATTTCTTGCAAAAATTTGACTTTGACTGTACTGCAATAATTCATTAACAGCTACTAAAAGTTTTTTAACAATCATCACCTGAAAAAACCCAGAACACACAATTGCAAGAGATCAAGCTACGGATTGCTGTAATTTCGAGTTTATGTCACTAATGATGTATCTTAGCATATCAATGCCAGCTGCTAGGAAGCTAAAAAAGGTTCAGGCAGCTATGAAAAAAATGCAGCATGAATATCCCTAACAAAGCTGTGTCAGAACACATCCCATTCACCCAAAGCAGAGATCTCCATCGCAGCTTGCTTCTGTCATTTTGTAAACACTTCGTCAAGTGACAGCATCACGGTGGGCACACTGATGTTCCTGTTAGGCCTGGAATTAAGACTCAGCTCATCTCTAGGTGCTTGCTCTGAAGGAAAATGCATGCTAGAAACATCCCAGCTCTATGATGAGAGATATTTCCATACTTACTGGTGCTACTATTTTGCCCGTCTGTCCAACCTGCATGTCATTAGGAACAAAGCCAGCATCAACAGCTGCACGGGAAGCTCCAACTAGTTGAAAGAAAATATTTTCAATGTTTTCTTTTAAAATATTTGCGAGCCAAATTTATATCACCATAAAAGCCCATGTATTTTACTGAAAGTCCCACACTCTAAGGGCACATATTTAAAAGCTTCCCTCTTAAAAGCTCTTATGGTAATCCCTCTCTATACCACTAGCTAAAAACTTCCAAATACTAAGTGCTAATGGACTTCATAAGCAACAGGAAATCCCTACTCCCAGCACCAAAGGGCCATATATTTAAACCAAGGATTTCAATCTGGCATATTTCCATGATTTTTTCTTGTTGCTTTGTCAAAAGAAGATTTTCCCATAAATGCCTTCCCAAAATGTTCCTTCAGGTCTGAATGTAACGTATGTGCTATCTTGTATTGCTGTGAATCTCAAAAGTCAGGCATGGTAAAGAAAAATATCAAAGTAAACTCGAAAATGCCATATGGACATTTAGTTAGCAAAAACACCGCTTTAAAAACTAAGCAAATCATGTGAATGCTAAAATTAATGGCATTAAAACATTAGAGCAAACAATTTCTCCTTCTTTCCCAACCTTTATAGAAAATACTTCACTGAAACATTGTAAATGGTTGATTTTCTCCTGTTAATACAAAGGCACAGCAAAAGGACAGAGCCACTCTACAACAACATGAGGAGGATTCGGTTAAGAAGCACTAGAAAAGGATGTATGCAGAAAGTATCAGCTCTTCAAGATGAGCTGTGACTGCTTCACTTTATGTTTGCAAGCTTCTGTTCTGGAGATTTGAGAAGCACAGGGAATATTATAGGTTAGTATTTTGCTTCATACACAGGCATTTAGGTATAGTTGACAAAACTTTATCTATAACTAAACTAAGAGCATTTTAACCATTTGATACAGATATGAAAATAAAAGACCTAAGATGAATTCTGGTTTTAATGTGACTTGTTTAAATTTAATAAACAGGGTTAAAAAAAAAGGAGGAAATCAAGTTTACCTGCAGCATGCAATTGATCCGCAAGTTCATACAACAACTTAAAATTTTCACCACTCTTCAAGCCCCTCCCTTAAAAGTTAAGAACAAAAGAAGATCAAGAAAGAAGAACATGTGTTTTAAGATCTTTTTTTGCCTATGTAAACTTTCTGTATGAGTATGAGCATTTGCAAAGACTCAAAGACATGGCTGCACAGGGTATTTTTGGATACATTACTAACCAGTATTTAATAATTGGAGATTTAGCTTTTGTCCTTGCCATTAATATTTCATATGTATAAACCAACACCACTCTGTCTTGTTTACTTCCTGCACAGAGCACCATCAAGGTCGTTCTCCAAAACCAGGAAAACAGAGGTTTTTTTAACTAATTTGTGCTCCCTCTGCTGGCTTCAGGAACAAAACACTGTAGTGGAATTAGTAAGAAATCATTTTAGCTGTAGGCATACAGTAAAAATCACAGTCCATCACTTGATACCTAAGGAGCAGAATACAATCAATACAGGTTTTAAAATCATTAAGGTCATTACATAATAATGTTCAGACTGACTGAAATGATCAGCAGTAATTTTGATATATGAAAAAACATGTTACATTTCCATCTAAAAAACAATTAATATTGCTAAAATTTTAAAGAGGCTCATCAAATATGAAAACATTCTTACAAAGCCTTCCAGCATATGCTGAACTCGTGTATTACCTCTTTACAAAACACACATGTTGAGTGCTTCCCCACTAGCCCCCATGGAATATTTCAGATTTACACCATAATTTCTTTTTTTTTTCCTGATGTATCACATTACAGACACGATTCACCAAGAGGTGCCATTACTGCAATGCAACATCAGTCAGTTTCCCTGTGATCACTCACCCCCTGACACAACCACTTTGGCACTGGTGAGCTCCGGCCGGTCGCTCTTCGTCAGCTTCTGCTCAATCCACTCCGAGATCCCGACAGGCGGAGGGGGGGTCACTGCAGTCACCACACGGGCCAGACACCCACAAGGAAAAGGACAAAGCATGTGTGTTCAAGCTGCAACCTGAGCTCAAGCTCAGTTCCGAGTTCATTCATAACTGATTTATTATTATTTTTGCTGAGTCCCAGCAGCTGCTCCTGGCACTGAGGAACAAGCCTCGTTCACCAGCTGCGTTCAGGGAACCCACAGTACAGACTGCTCCACAAGGAATTCTGCTCTGCAGGTGCCACACACCGATACCAGCCCAGCACAACAAGTGTGAGCCTTACTATCACAGGCAGACAAGTCAGTCAGGCAATGCACCAGCAGTGCAGCACACCAGGTCAGTGACGTCTGACTTCTGCCACCCACGGACGTTAGGAAATACAGGATGGTCAGAGGCAGGGACTAAGCCACAAAACAAAAAGGCCACAGTGAAAAACAGGAGAGGTCACCAAAATGCAACAGGTTACCCAAAGCAGTTGTGAAGTCTCCACCTGTGGACATTCTCAAAGCCTGACTGGACACAGTTCTGGGCAACCTGCTCCATGGGGCTGGACTAGATGATCTCTAGAGATCCCTTCCAACCTCAGCTACTTTGTCATTCTGTGACTGGATTTCTCAATTATCAGAGCTACACTGGCTTCATTAAATTGTAAATTGAACTGATATAGTTAAAACTGATCTAAAATTCTGTATTCTCAAATCAATTTAAACTGCCACTAATTTAGCTTGATGATGTAATGACCTTTCTCAACTGCAATGTGATTAAACCAAAACTGCAGAGAGCCAAACACTTCTATTTTTGCTCGGTCTTGTTTTGAAAACCAATCTGGTTATTCAAACAGCTGTAACTTGTCCTTCCTTAAAGTTTCAAGACTGCAGTGGCAGACGTTTAGGCAGCGAGTGGAACAAGCACGGATTTCAGCACAGATAATCTCCATTTCTGGTCAAAGAAAAGGAAGTAACTGTGCAGATAATCTCTACCTTCTTTTACCAGACATCACTAAAAAGTGCAAGAACCTGTAATTAAAAACATAAAGCTAACATTACGACAATCAGTTTGCTTTGACAAATACTTCTACAAAACACCACCAGGCAGTGAGCAAAACTAACTCTATTAAACAAAACAAGAAAACAAGATCATCCCAGAACAAACACTCACACTTTTCTACACTGGCACTACCACCGCTCGCTGGTGCAGCCTCAAATGAAGTTCCCCGCACAGTAAACACTTTGATTGCTTCATCACACTGCACAGTGCAAATAATATTTCCTAAAAAAAAAGACATTAAAAATAATAAAGATTATCAGACATACCGTGCTTAAAAAAAAAAAAAATTAATATCAAAATCACATTAGCAGTTGTACCAGAATATGCGACATCCGCCAAGGTACTTCCCAAAATTGCAGTTTTAGATGACTAAAACTTAGCACTTAATAACTAGAGATTACTAATACTTTCATTTATGTTTTAGCCCTGTGTTTCTAAAGTATGAATACAAATCTTCTATTTTCAAACGATACAAAGCATTCAAATAATCTCTTATTAATAAGATTATAAATTTCAGAAGGAATGAAAAAAACAACTTTGGAAATGCCATTCTTACACATAAAAAATGTCTATAACTCAAAGTAGATCTTTAATCCTGTTGCATGAATTTGCCAGAACTGAAGACAACGAGGCCTCCCCCAAGTATCTGTGGGACTGTGTTTCTCTCTATAATATAATACAATACTTCTGAAGGCTGCAGGGAATGCTAAAAGAAAAAATGCTGCAACATTCATAAACATTCAACTATTCACAAATGAAGTCACCTTGTAACTGTGAGTTACTGGGAAGGAACTTAAAGTGCAGCATAAACCACATTCCAGTACCGTAACTCAAAATGTAATAACCTGCTGCTATGTGTGGTACAATCTTTACAGTAAAATTAAGAAACACAAGCTAATGAGCTAATATCTAAAATAAAACACAGTGTCAGGCAAACATTAGAGAAACAAGACTGAAAAAAATAATCACAAATTAAGGTAATAAAATATTAGAAATAATTCAATCAATGTCTTCGTAATTAGAAAAAATAACCCTGTGGTATCTTAAATCAGAACTAATGCTAGTCCTATTGAATAAAGCTGGACAATTAACCTGATGTTTTATGCTTTCCAGAACCTGATCAGAAGGGCATTAACAAACAGAGTACATGGGAAGGATGGGACCAAATTCTGTTCCTTAAGGTGACAGACATGGGTCTGACATGCTTCTACCAAAGCCCTTGGAATTACTTGCTTTCTCACACAGGGAGCATTGTGTCCATCCCCAGGCTTCATTTTTTATGAATTACAGCAACTGAGATTGTAAAGGGAAAATTCCTATCATATTCCAAGGTTTTAACATTAGGATCATGTAGAAAAATTAGCACTACTGGATTCTTCATTGGACAAATACACACAGATTTTGAGATTACCCACCTGCATAGATAGTTCTCACAAAAGTATCTGGGGACTTAATTTCAATAATGTCAGAAACAGGGGCAACATCAAGCTTGCCAGCCACTCTGGGAATAAGATTCTAGAAATTAGAGATTAAAAAGTTAGCAAAGTAAGCTAACTAAAATGTACATGGTCAGTAAAAGAACACTGCTGACCCGATTTCATATAATGCTGTCTCCAAGACATACAGAACTAAGATTTTTGAAGGGCTACTTGTGTAGCTTTAGCAGTCAAATAAAACCCCATTACTGTAATAACATTAGACATTTTATGAGACTTACTGTAAGTAAACCCGTAATTCAATATCTTAAATTAGGAGACTTATTTGCTTCAAATATTCTAAAACTGAATATAGATGCCATTTACTCAGAAAATTGACAGTTATGGATTGTTGAGCTCTTGGCACTTCAAGGGGAAAAAAAAATGGTGCTTTCGGAAGTCAGATGCCAGAAATTATAGGAAAAATACCCTGCACTCTTCCCTCCAAAGCAAAAAAAAAAAAAAAAAATTAAATTTCATATTAAAGTATATATTCTCTTGCTCCAAAATTTACTTTAGAAAATTACTTAGCACCTTTAGGAGTGGCAAGAAGGATAAAAAGAGCAGCAGAAATTATGAAGAAATCAATGATAAGATAATTATTTGCTTTTTTTGTCTGCCTCCTAATCTGGTGCAAGAAAAAAAGGCCCAGGTCTGAAATCTTCACTCACATGAAGCACTCAAAAATGGCAGTGTAAGCTTTAAAGCAAAAGCCATCAACTCCTACTATGACACAGCAGTTAAAAAAAAAATTTAAAAATGTGTAACCTAAGGCTTAATTTCTCTTAGCAAAAACACAAGCATGTGGATTGCTATTGAGTGGAAGTGAAAGCAGGCAGATGGAAGGCCGATGTCATCCCTCGTCCCGCATCGGCAAGATTTCTCAAGGATCCTTTTTCTCTCATTTTCTGCATCAGATTCTTAGTACTGAGGTTCTCCATGTACTTATAAACACATTAAAAAAAAAAAAGGTTTTGAAAAATTGTATTTTCATTAAAAACCATGCTGGCTGGAACTTAGATTTGTTATTTATATATGTTTACAGACATTTCAATGTAAATGACTTATATCACAGATGCAAATCCCACTCCAAAAAAAAGTTTGCTTCCAATAGGTTTGCACACGCTCATTTCAACATGCAAATAACAGATTTTTCATCCCAATTTGCTGTGCTTTTCCTTACAATTTTCATGCTTTCAGATCACTTAATCTGCTTTGCCTTATTGCACATTTTGCCTTGTGTCCATAGGATTGGCTGGTTACCACAGAATATTTTTCTTTTTTTCACATCAGCTCATAAAAGAACTCAAACATAAATCATGAAATCTAACTAATGACCTCTTAACCAAACTACTGTAAAATAGTTTGCAAATGCAGAACTGTCCATGGCTGATCTCTCTCAGGCCTTTGATTCACATTTTTACATACAGCAGCATCTGTCTCTTTTCTACAAGAACTTTTTGATGCTCTTTCATCCACTCACCTTCCCAAACGCAGATGCTCCGGCACAAATGTGAGTGTAATTAAATTTTTTATGAGTTTCCACAATCAAGGGCGTCAGCTCCTCTGAGAGTAAAAATACATTGCTTAGAATTGACAACCATTTTATTTTCAATCACAAACACAAATACACAAATACATTTCTTTTGTCAACAGGTAAGAACAACTCTCACCTGCCAGAAATCCCTTGTACACATCATGCTGAGCCACGAGAACTTTTGCAACACCCTGCACTTTGCTGAGTTCTGATGCTACCTGTGATTACAAATGAATTATTATTAGTTTGTGTTTAACAGGCACCACAAACATATAACAAGGGAGTCCCCACTGCAAATAGCTCACAGCCTATAGATTCATAAAACCAGAACCAAATGTACATGAATTTCAAAAACAGAACAGACCTGAATAGAATAAAATGTAGGTCTTCTGAGCATAGCTCCTTATGGGATAATGAAAATGAATTTGTGAATAAGAGAACTACGGAGCAAATCAACCTCAGGAAAACCTGCCTCCTGCATGCAGGGCTCCACAGCATCCCAGCATTTCTTACAGCAGCCAACAACAGCCACACTTGAGGATTATTGCTCAGTATTCCAAATACAATCACCAAGAAACAATTCCTACTTTAAGTTCAGTCAGTATCTACCACACAAACAAACACAAATGTACAATGCTGTCACAACTTTTGTCCAAATTCTAGGAGCGACCCTTTGTTTGCATCTGACTTTTTGCCCACTGAAGCAATGTGTATTTTCAATTTATATTTATGCATTTTTTTTTTCGTTTGAATTGGCACAAGTGAAGTTTAAATGATAAAAGGGTTACTACAGATCAGAGAGAAGAGGACTGACAGCGAAGTCTGGAGACCACATGCATCGTCCAGAAACACTGTAGTTTTACTCAGTTTGATGAGTATCAGTTTACCCTCAAAAATTAACAAAAGGAAATAAAGAAAAAATCCCTAGTAGCTGCTGCAGAATATCTGTTTGAGTCACTGGCTCTTAAATAAAAATCTCTAAACCTTCATTTTTTATAAAATACTTTTTCCCACCATAACATACAGACTCCATATATTTAGCATTAAAACAAACAAAACATTCACAATCATTTTTCTCCTATGAAAGTGCACAGAATAAGGAAAATTAATGACACATATCAGGCAATTATTTCTTTTCTTTTTCACTTTCTTGATTTAGATAAATATTGGCTTCATCTCCACCTTGAACACCTGAACAGCTATCGAGGTTTCTCCACCTATTTGTTAATAAGCTGCTCTAAGTATGCCTTCTTCATGAGATACTACATGTTGCTTTCAAAATAACAGTGCATAAACAGTAGGTAAATATTAGGCACAGTTTTTTTGTACTTCTACTGCTCACACAATACCAAGTCATGCTGGAATAAAAGTGCCACTAATGTGCTACATTGTCTCTAGAACTGGCACATCAAAATTACACTGGAAATGCACAGCTAACGTACAAGGAACTTTTTACATACATGAGCAGTGTGATAAAGTTAAGAAGCACTAATTTCAGAATTCCAGGTTGCAAACACTCTCTACACAACTAGTGATTGCTTAGTAACAGCAACTTGCTCAAAAGCCCAATTTATCACTGTTGTTTCACTTCTGCTGGTTTCCATTTAAACAAGCAAAAGCTTCTTTCCAAATTCTTAGCACTGCAATATTTGTCATTTAAACTTTACAGAGATATATCTTGTTTAAAAGTTAATTGTCCTTTAGTCCTATAAAAATTTGCTTGCTCAAGAATGTAACAACCATTATTGATACCGTTCCCTGTGAAATGAAATCTATATCCGCATTTTCTCTTTAGAAGAGAAGCAGTTCCAAGTGCAGGACTTTTCTGGCAGATCAGCAACTCCTGGCACAGTTTCTCCTGACTACAGATTATTTTTCAGGCTGCCCGAGACGCTGCCAAGCGTTGTTTCACTGCATTCTTTATTTCACTGGTATGAAAATAGCATTTCCTACCTTGTCACAGCTGGTACCAGCCACCAGACAGGAGACCTCTCCTCCCAGGCGCTTTGCTGCAGTGATGGTGTTGAGGGTGATGGGGGTGAGGGATTCATTGTTGTGTTCTGCCACCACCAACGTGCTCTGGGACCTCCGAAGCACCGACGCCTGCAAAGCAAGTGGGAAACTTAGCATGGGAACAAAAACCTTTTCCTCTGGGCATCCAAGGCTTTACAGAAATTCGTACTTGTACAAGTGGTAAAACACTGCTAGGCTCATTCTAGATAATTTTTATTAAGTAAAGAAAATACATAGGGTGATACAAAAAGAAAATACAAACCCGCTTGCCTTCACCTTGTCTGTAACATGCTGTGCTTAAACTGAAACTCCACAGGAAAATAATGAACAAAATTAAGAAAAACATTTTAACACATTATATTCCAGCTCAGTTGATCAACTTAACCAAGTAAGGTTTAAGGCAAAGACCGAGGATTAGACAAGGAAATCAACAGTTGCAAATATTTACTTGGTTTTCTAGGGCGGTTCTCAGGCAGTGTTTTATTATAAGTTTTAAACAAAATCTAGCTACAGAACCCACTTTTATATTTAGAGGCAGAATTTTATGCAGTGGCTGGATGAAAATTAAGCAGCAGCAGCTGACAGCCTGAAAACACACTAGGAGAAACCTTTACAGGCATCAGGTTCACTTTTCCCTCTTTTCCTTCAAAACATTTGAGCACTTAGTCTACCACCACAATTTAATGGTCCTTAAATAACAATTTTGACCAATTCACCATCCATACACAAACTTGAGCTTCTAAAGCAAAAATGAAAGAAACAAAAGAAAAAAAAAGGCAAAAAACTGCTATAAAACCAAACCAAAATATTATAAATTCTGAGGCCTTCCTCTCTAATATTCAGGTGTATGTGTGAAAAGCATTATTCCGCCAAGACTAATACTAGGGTAGAGAAAACATTTTGGATGGGAACAGGAATAATGTCCCTCAAGCGTTTGTTTACCCTACATAAAGCCCAACTGAAAACTTGAGCAATGATCAGTGTAGGATGGAACACAAGGAAAACCAAATTAATTAATATATAACTAAGGAACAAATACTAACACAACGCTGAAGACGCACAGCCAAACACTACTTTTTTAAATTTACACACCAACCCCATCTCCCCTCATGCCAAACACGTACTTGCCTACAACTTCAAATAAAAAAAGCTTCAGAAAATATGAGAGGCTAAAATACGCATCTGGACTTCAACCCCACAAAGCCTACCAGCATACTGAATTTCAAACACAGAAAGCAAATCCCAAGGACTTCCCTGAAGCTAATCACAGTGCGCAAAGAAAAATACAAAGATAAGTTTTTGCAGAATCTGAATCATAATTTGTCCTTTTGATTAAAACAATAAGCATTTTGTAGAAGTGCTCTGCATTTAATCTCTTACGCTTAAGGTTAAACATAATGCTTATGCTTGCTGTGATTAAATAGTCTAAGCTCCTTTGAAACCAATTGCCAGTAACAAAATATTTACTGTCACTATAGATCAGATGCTGTATTTTTGATTATGTTTCATATATCATCTGCAATAAAAGTTACGAAATCTTAGTCGCCATTTGAAGAATAAATCCACGCCTTTGTGGCAAAAAGCCCACTCTCCAATGATTTACAGTTGTGCCATGGGGTAAAATGGACCATACTCCTGGAATATCCTCAAGTTTTCAGATTTCCAAAGGGAGACACATGCATTTTAAACACACACTTATTTCTGCCTGTATTATCATTTTTTCCCTAAATAAGCACTGCACCAGCACCATCATTCTGTCAAACCATTCTAGAATAAACTGAGAAATAACTGGTTTTTAACCAAAAATAATACGAGCAATAGAAGTTGCTTGAGCAGACTGGCTATTACAGTATTGACCAGGTATTATTCCTAAACCAATAATCCCACATTTTATATTTGTGGGAATATACACAATATGCACACCAGAAGATCACTTCATGGATGACATTTCTGAACATAAAGACAAGACCAGATTCAAAATAAATTTAAAGTCACATTATATATTATGGGTAAAAATCTAGATGGCAAACGAGATTTCTATGTAGGTCTGAATTTTATATACTAGGACACATTAAATAATTTTCTCAATAAACAAAACCAAACCAAACTGACTTTTGTTTGTTATAATAAAGACTCTGCAGTAAAACCAGAGGGTAATTCATCCAGTCATATGGTCCTGAAAGCAAAGAAGCTGCAATGAGTCAGTGATAGGCCAGGCAGTCATGTTGATGAAGTTACTGTCCAGCTGCACGTGTGGGAGAACAGCCCATCACTTCACTGACATCATTTCTGCTCTTGGGCAGGATGTCTGCTTAGGAAGCCTCAGTAAAATAGGAAGGTAGAGAATAAACTAACCAGCTGGCAGCAAGGAAAGAAAGCACAAGAAATAAGACCCACAGATCAATCAAACTGTTGAAAACAACGCTTTAAGAAAGAGCAGCACTCAGTGCTTGTGCCATGGAAGGTTCCTGGTGAAAACCAAGCTCTGGAAAATAAGACTACCCACAGAAATGCCCTCCAGATAAATATCCCACCAACTTGGGCACCTGAGTCACTTCTGCAGCATGACAGCAGGTAATGACATCCCAGCAACACGGAGGTAGAACTGGGAAGTTTGTTTTCCTCAGGTTTAGGTACAAATCACAGCTACACACCTATGTTTCCTCTACAGCAGAAACATCTGTGCTTCCTCTCCGGTGGAAACTCTGGACAGTGACTCAGTTTATACCAAAACTAACATTTGTGAATGAAAACCACCTAGAATTTCCGACTTCCCCTTCCCTCCCCAGTATTAACTGTAGAGCAAACTTGGCCTCTAACTTTCAGATGTTTAAAAGTTGCTAAGATTAACTCAGATGTGCAGTATTGATCAATTAAGCCACTTGCAAAATAGACACAGATTCACTGCACTGATTGTCTCAAGTTTCCCCAAAGCACTGTTTTGCTCCCCACCAAGGAGCCCATCAGTATTTTCCAACCAGAGCACAAAAAATCTAAGTACAATATCTGGATTTCTAGACTCCAGACAAAATACCAGATACTGGTCACAGTGTAACATCAGCAATCTGGGCACATCCAGCACATGTCACCGCACACATCCAGGCACCCACTGAACGTGCACAGGTGATCTGCCCATCACACACAGCCACTGAAACTGAGCATCTGTCGGTCTTTCAGCACACACAGGCCACCTGAACAGCACACATGGCCAGCACTGCTCACAAACAGATCTGCTGCTTGTATGCTAAAAAACAGTTGCATCAAGAGCTGGAAAAACCCAGAGGGAAGTGTGGTCTTTGCTTGCTGCTTGGTGAGCTTGGTGTGCAGCACCCGTGGCCTCTGCTGGCAACAGTGGTGGCTAACTGCCTGCAGCCTGCTCCAAGGACACTCATTAATAACACCGGAATTAGGAAACCAGCTCCAACTAAAACATGTGGCAGGCACAGCAACACAAGATGAGTCAGCCAAAAAGTTGTTCCAAGAAATGCCAGAGATGCAGCAGGTGAATTCTACATAGGCCCATGCTCCAAATATGCATCAATGAGAAACAGGGTGCTAGAAACTTCACCTGGAAAATAAAGTTTGTCTCTATTTAGAAGAGGCACTGGAAGTTACAGGAACAAAACCAAAACAGACTTTCACAAGGCAGCACACCAAACAACAGGACCTACAAAGGTATCTCTAGAGCTGACTTTCTTAGCTATAAAAGCAAACTGGCCAGAACCTAAAATTTTAAAACTGCTTATTAGGAATTCTGGATTTCATGGAGAACCATTAACACAGGGCAAAGTTCCCAAGAAAGAACTCCAGAAACTAGGAATTGGAGTGTTACTGAAGACAAAGGCTACATTCCTAAACAACAAAGCAATGCCTAATTCTATTAAGACACAGTCTTGTAGCTGTAAAACTTTAACTAAATAAATCTGTTAAACTCAGAGAGAGAGAGAAGAGAACTGAAGCATGTACTTCTAGAACCTCTCTAAAGACCTGGCTACAAAAGAGGTCTAAGAGACAGCTCTATAACTCCAGGAAACACTAATTAGAAAAACAGCACTAAGGGCACCTGAATGAAAAAGGAGCTATAACTGCAGCAAAGAACAACAATAAAAAAATAAAACCACTTTGTAAAAAGGATTTGGCAATCATAATAAAGACTTAATATTACAAAGGGACTGAAGCAGCAAGAGAAAGACGAAATACACAATAAACTTTTCCAAATATGCCCCTTTCAAACCAATAATAAAAATCAATGAAGCTATTTTGAAATACAACACTGAGTGTATTTCAACACAGGGAAGCCCCTAAATCACTTATTCCCACCTCTGCACCCAGTTTTTGTGCACTGGCAGTCTCATACCTCCTCAGTACACCTCCATCTTTAAGCTGTACAGAAGTTCAACTTTCCTTCCTGCTCATACTTCACAGGTTTCTCTCATCATCTTTTTCTCTAGACTCCACTCACTCTTGAGCTGTGTCAGCAGGGCTAAACTTTGCACTTTTCAAAAAGTGAAACAAAAACAAACTGTGAGTTTGTTTCACTTCTGTCACAGACTACATTGTTACACATACACTGAAGACGCACACAATGTTTCACTGGCTTTATTTTATAATGTTACTAGTTTAGATGTGTATGGTTGAAAACCAAGCAGCCGAACTCTCATGTCCAGGCCATAGAACCGAACTGTGCAGTGAGCATGTGAGTAAAGTACTATTTACATAGCAATAAGATTCAGAGATCATCAAGACCTTTGCTCTACAAAGCCTGCAGCCTGACGACAACTGAGACATGCCCATGATTACAACAGAAAGAATTTTCTGATTAATTCAGTCACGTCTGACCTGGTCTACCTTTGCTCGTCTTTTAAGAGATTTTTATCACCTGAAACCATTTAATATATTCATAACTACTATTTTAGCGCTGTATTGAATCGTAGTACGTGTAAAAGCCTTGGAGAGCTCAAAAAGAGACTTGCAAGACTTAAAGTTGTTTACAAGGGCTATTTATACCCAGTTCTAGTGGAGGGGGTATCTCCCAGTACATAGTAAGAAATTGAACAGATATTCGGGGACATCTCATCAATCATCTACTCCAATTAACCTTGAGTTCACCTAGACCTTGGTAACACAGCCACCACGACACACGGAGCAGCAAACGGCCTCCAAAAGCTGAGCAATACGAAGGTCACACTGCTCTCAGCTGAGCAGTACGAAGGTCAGACAGGAGAAGCACCAGGTGTTTTACATGAGCTTCCTCCACAAGTTGTGATGATTATAGCAATCACATTTCTGCACAGGTGGGACTAAGAAACGGCGCATTAACCTGCAATAACGCAGAAAGCCTCTCCTTGAGCCACTAATATTCTTCTAGTATTCTTAAGAGTTTACAGTACCAAACTTTAGAAGGTTTCTCCACCTGTTACTCAGCTTGTCCTGCTCAAGGGTAGATGGGAGCGAGCGCTCCCAGAAGTTCAGGACTTCCCTGACACCTACGTTAGCTTTCCCTCAACTCCTGCCTGCCGGGACCGCTGGAAAGGCCTTCTGGAACACCCTGTGTCCACTCGGAAACTTTATTTTTAACACACGGAGTGGGAGGCGAGTCCAGCGGAGAAGTCCGAGCCCGGCGGCGCGGGGCGCTCGCCTCTCAGAGACCCCCTCGACCGCCGCTGCCGGGCGGGAGGAGCTCGGCCTGCGCCCCGCCCCGCGCCCCCTTCGCCCCACTGGGCAGGGCCCGCCCGGCCGGGGCGGCGGCAGGCCCCGCTCGGTGCGCGGCCCGGGGCCCGCCCGCACTCACCGCCCGCCGCAGCCGCTGCGCCGCCACCGCCCGCAACATGGTTCCGCCGGCCCGCACCGCGCCGCTCTCGCGAGAGCGCGGCCGGCCCCGCCCCGCCGCCCCATTGGACCGACCGGCGGACCAATGCGCGGCAGCGGCGGCGCGGGCGGAAAGGAGCGGAGAGTGCGGAGCGGCCGCGGTACGGCCCGCAGTGCCCCGCACGGCCGGCTGTCCTCTGAGCCCCGCACGGCCGGCTGTCCTCTCCCTCACGGCCGGCTGAGCCCCACACGGCCGGCGGTCCTCCCGCGCTCCGCTCGGCTGTCTCTCCGAGCCGCCCGCTGCCACCCGCACTGCCGACTGCGTCCCCCCGCACCGCTGGCTGTGTCCCCCCGCACCGCCCGCTGTCCCCCCGCACAGCCGGTTGGCCCCTGCACCGCTCCCCCGGTGCAGCTGGCTCTGTCCCGCGGCCCGGCTGGCTGTGTCTGCCCGTCCCGCACGGTGCGGGCCGTACCGGAGGGCAAGAGCGAAGTTGCCGCTGCCGTAGGGGCCGGTCCAGCCCCCGCACAGCGCCTCGAGGAGAGCGGACTCCTCCCGGCCCAGACTGACCTGGTGCCAGCGCCAGCCTCCTCCAGCGCGCCGCTCCCCCGCACTGCTTCCTCAAAGGGTTACAGTCTTTAAAGAGAAGGAAACACCAGAGAGCAGAGTTATGCCTTCAAATGCCGGTGCTCCTTGCCAGATCCTACCCTAAGCCAATGAAATGTGCCTTGCGAAGAGAAAGGAGAAGTCTTAATTTACGGCTGTGGAGCCAGCAGCAGCCGGGGAGCCTCCGGCCGCCGCCCGCGGCTGCCCGCGCGCTGCCAGCCCCCGGCCGCGCTCCCGCAGCACCGGGCGCGGCAGGAGCAGGAGAGGCAATGTAGGGACGGAGTGCGTGGCTCGCTGGCAAGGCCAGATGTCACCGTGCTTGCCAAATGTCGCGCCCCACCAGCTGTCCAAACCACACCTAAACTTCAAAGACCAGTCAGGTTCCGCGAGCCCTGGATGGCATCCTCTCACCACGACAGATTTCTGGCTCCCTCACCCGCACTCCTGTGCTTGGCCCCAAGCAACATTAGGCAATAGCTCATGAGCTCTGAATAATTTATAGATCTATTTTATTATTATTCTGATTTCCCAGAACCAAGGCAAGACATCTTGTGCCTGCCCCTTACATGGCACCAGGGTGATCCAGGGACCAGACTGAGACTTGCTGTTTTTCCATACATCTGTATTTGTTTCTGGGTGGCAAGGAGAGGTCTATAAAAACCAATGAAGCAAGATGCTTCAGGCCAAATTCTCTGTGCTGTGTGCTATGGCTCTCTGAAAACCTGATGTCCTGGAGAAGCTGGCAGGAGCTGCCACACTGGAGCAACTGGTCCTGCCAGGCCAGAAGCCCCAAGCACACATGGATTTGGGACGTTCCAGAATGGAATTCCCTTCCCAGAGATCACAAGATAGTCACGAATACAGTTTCTTCCTTCCCATCCTGAAGTGGTTGAGAGTGTAAATAAACCCCAAACATTCCCCCCTGCCCTCAGCAATTATGGCCTTTGGATTGTTCCTGCAAGAATCAGCGGTGATCTCCAGCACTTCAGTGATTCGTTCTGCATTGCTGGGTCGCTGCATAAGAAGGCAAAAAGCAGATTGATCAAAAAGGCTCTTCGACTTTACCACGGTCTTGGCACAGGATCACCTTTTAAATTTATTCTGCCATGTGATTTTCACATCAGATGCCAAAAAGGGCTGCTTTACAGCAAAAGCTAACCAGGTCCAACAACTCAAGCATCTAAATGGACAATTTACTTCGTCTCAAATCTCAAATGTCTCTAGAATAGAAGAAAAGCAGCTGTCCTGCATATTACAGCTCCCTGGCCCCAGAGCAGAACCTTAACTCCTCAAGCCCCAAAGGAGGGCTGAAAAGGGAAGAGCTAAAGGAGGTGGCAAACCTCCTTCAGGGCCTGTGCCTGATTATATGGATTAAAGTAGCTCGAGGGCTGCTCTGACTTCTGCCTGGTCTGCCTCTACCCTTCAGTCCCCAAAAAAGGAAGAAAACAAAATGAGTGTTTGGAGCTGCCTGTGCATCGTCTGGTCTGTGCAAATGGCCAAGTGAAAAAAAACCAACTGTTTATATGGGGATGAGGGGGAAAACCGTTTTGCAGAAGCCACAGTACCCTGAGAGGGGTTTAAAAAGAGGATTAATATTTGCTGTGGCTCTTTATCACCAGTTTGAATGATGGTTAAGGTGCAGTGTAACTCTTCAGAGATGTGGAGTTTTGTACAGTATAGAAATCCCTACCTGCACCCTAGGTAATCCAACAAATGCAACAGTAAAGGCAAAATAACAGCTTAGGCATCCTTAATTTGCCCATTATGTATTTTTAATTGGGGTGTTTTACTCATTAAAAGCATGGCATGTAATTTCATAATCCTATTTTAGGCTCCAAAACTAAGCTTCCAACCTGCACATCTCATGCAGATGAAATCTTTACAACAAATGTACACCTAAAAACCCCAAACCACAAGAATAATCAAAGTGATCTCATTCAAGTTGGGGCTTTACTGCCTTGCACTAAAACAAAAGTGAGCTACTATCAAAATTAACTAAATGCATCATAGCCAATAATAAATTGATCCATTCACTGTGTGTCTGGCTTCATAGCACACACATCATATTTTCATGAGCAGAGTGACATTGCTGCTCTTTAGGTCCGATTTTAAGGTGTAGCATCACCAATTCAGAGACATGACAGGCTTTTTGTTATATTTTCTGTTTATAATTTTGATTCAAATCCTCAGCAACACTTCAGATGCACAAATCCTTATTGAAACTGGCTTGATGCGGATTACAGCCTGAAGCACAAAGGAAGTCTTTATCACTTATGGCCAGTGTTTTAGGAGCTTATAACTGTAATCAGGTAGGGATTATATCAGCATGATCCATACAAGCTGAACCATGGCAAAAAGCTTTATTCTATTTGACCTTCCCAAAACAATAATAGAAATGGAAAACATGCAACAAACAAATGCCGCTGAAGTAGAATCACTGTCTACTGCAGGCAGAAGTTACTACTTTGTATTTTGAAAGAAAAATTAGTCATTAATTAGTGGAAGCAGATCCTTGTATGGTGCATTGTTATCCAGGATTATTTCATTAGGATCTGCTGACCCAATTTCTGCATTGGAAAGAGAATTACATTTTTTCACACTATTGGGATTGGGGGAAAGAAAAAATAATAACATAGATTATTCAGACTTTTAAAAATATGGTTGCAAACAAGGACAGATACCTGTATTGGTATCTCTACAGAAGCCAAATGAAACAAGGACCATTACAAATATGTAATGATGTCTTCCCTAGAATCGGATTTTGGTTTTCTTAAAATACATAATTCCTAATTAAAACATATGGAATCCAGCTAATACAGCCTCATGACTAAGGGATTTACTGAAGAGCAGGAATTTTTTTTTATTACTGCTATGATGGCCCCCTCTGTCACAGGTCATCCTTAGCTTACTCCTCCTGCAATCGCCCTGGGGATAGCTGACTCAGATAAATTAAAAGAGCTTCATTTGGGAAGCTTCCCCAGCACACGAAAGGATTCGCCTCCTAATCTGTCAAAATCCAATAACGTTAAAGCAACTGCAACCTGCTGACAGCTCAGCAGGACCCCCAAACCAATGGGCAGAACCCACAGCCCCGCACCGGGCAGGACTAAAACCCACCTTGGAAGCAGCAGCAGGAGAGGTTTCTGCTGCTGAAATATTTTGTGCCCAAGTGCTGGGAGCTCAGAGGGTCCGAGTGGTTCAGCCACCCCAGGATGTTGCTGGTCCTCCTGCACTCACCCCTTGCCCAAGTCACGAGCTGCGCACAAGGAGGGACATGTGTCCCCAGAGCCCTGCTCTCTGCCCCTCATCATCACTGGCAGAAAGACTCATCTCCACATGTCTGACACTGAAAGTCCTGGTGTGCTTAGCGCTCTGCTCAGTTCACCTTACTGCCACTCACCTGCGTGGCTCAGAGCAGCAGCTGCTCTTTCATGAGGCCTTATGGAAGCCTTTGGACAGGGACAATGCCACAAGCCCTGCTTACAAAGTGCAGGACAGAGGAAAGAGCTCCCCAAAGCTACCCCATAGCAGGGACAACCCTTCTAATACTGAGCCTACAAAACCACCACAGACAGGTATTTTCTTTTTTATAAACTACTCTCCTTTGCTAATAATTTCCACATGCCAGTCAAGTAACAAGGGAGCCTGGGAGTAACATCAGGCTGCATATTCCTAAATAACAAGATCACCTGAGGAGTTCAATAAACCCTTTCTACCAAGCTTGCAGGCAAAATGGGACCCTCATAACCTCCTGAAAGCAAAGGCTCAGGTTACCTTGGAAGGCAACTTGTCCTGCCTAGGAGTGATGATGGTTTGTGGAGGACAAGGGAAACAACGCTGGTGAGAAGAGCTCTGCTGCCCTCCCAGTGCAGACACCTGGATGGGGTTTTACGACCTTCCAGCCTCCTTCTGCATGCAGCTCGCCTTGTTGTTAATGGCAGATATGTGTAAAATTCTCTGACAGGTTGTACCAGCATTATTTTTTAAAGGGGTAGCTGCACTTTTTTGCCCATTACACTGCTGGAAAGGAATCCAGATGCCACTGTATTCCCACTCACACCAGCCCGAGCCATTCCTGCAGCAGCAGCAGCAGCAGTCTGCTCCAGGGGAAAAACTCTTTCCTGCCTCTAAGGACTTTTCAAGGAAAGTTGCTTTTTCCTTTTTTCTTTCTGTTTCAGCTCAGTCAATAGCACTTTTGTGTAAGCACAGCAGCTGCAGTAGGCCTTGTTTTAAGTGTTTTGGAACCTGCTTGATTTTTGATATTTTTTATTTATACTTTTATTGCAGAACCCATTAGGGAGGAGAACCTTCTGGCCACTTATAGCACCTGGTGACAAAGACTAATGTACCTCCTGCTTGCCCTGTCACAAAGTCTAAGATAAAGTCTACAAAGTCTGCAATTTACCCATTGCCTTTAATCCTGCAGATAACAGCATAATGAGATCCAGTGTCTGGGGGCTGAACCTAAACTATACACTTAGGTGTCCATTCCAGTGAAAGTAGTCAACAAGCAGGATGCGAGAGCAAGGCAACCTCTCCTGCACTGGCAGGTGACACCAAGACCAGATGCATTTCTGGGAGAGATGACTGAGGTCAACCATAAATTAACAGGATCATTGTGAGGGAAAAAATAATAATTCTGTGTCCAATTGCATGGTCTCGTATGAAGGAGACCAGAGGAGATAGGCCAATAAGTCTTTTCTGCGCTCATGAACTTTCTAAATCTTTCTTATCCGGAGGGGGAAAATGGCAAGGGCTCCCTTTGCCATGTTACCATGGCTGACTCTTAATCACTAGCAGGGCTGGCAGTAGCTGTTGTGCAACACCACTTTCCCCAGCGCTGGGCCCTGTTCCCCTGCAATGCTCCCAACCCCTGCTGGTCTCAGAAGAATTGAGCCCAAAGCTCCACATAGCAATTCAAATGCATCACCAGACATTAGGCCACCGGGTTAACCACTGTTTAATTTCGTCACATTTGTTTGTGAGTTATGTACGTGCCTTTCTTTTGTCAACATCTCCTTTTAGAAAGGATATTGATTTTGTTTTCAAAGGCTCTCAAAAATAAAATGAATGACTACATTCTAAGGAAGAGTCATTTTCTCAACAGCTGTAAATAATTTATTGTTCGCAACCCACCCAGATCAAAAGATACTTCATCAACTGATGTGGCAAAATCTGGTGCAAGCTGCATTTCTATTATCTCAGATCCAATTAACCATTTGGAGCAGACTAAAACATAACTAGATCAATCCAGAATCAGATTAATATCCAATCCATAATCACATTAATCACAATCTGTCCATAATTAGCCATCAGATAATCCCATTGGACAGGAGGTGACATGCAGTATCCCATTATCTCATTAATTATCTATTTTCAGTATCAGACATTGTGCCCAAACACAAGGAAATGTTTTTTAGAGGAAAATGCATAGGGAATTCTCATTTTGCTACATCTTCCCCATTGAAGCTCTCAGTGTCTCAGTCTTGGGAGTTTTACAACAATTCTTTGCTTTGCCATATTCTGCTAGGACCAAGGGAGTTTTTTTGAGAGACATCATCTTCTTAATAAAATATGACTATCTTAGGAAGATGGATAAATAAAACATTTGTTTCATGTGAACAAGTTTGTGAAAGAAAGAAAACTCTTCATCAAAGGTTTTAATGGTAACATGATAACAATAGCCTTGCAATGCTAAATCTTATTGCAGATGGTTCCTGTCCTTTTTTGTAATGTAAGTGAAATTGCGTTCCATCTGTTTTAATTTTATAATGGACTTAATCCATGGTTGGCTCTGAAAGAATCAGCATTTACTGCCTTTGCAATCTGCTGCAAACAAAAAAAATAGTTACATTTCCCCCTTCTAGAGGGAACTTGTGTATCTATTTGGGAGCAAACCTCAGAGCTGCTCTGTGGAGAGCGGGGAGCACCATTAGGCAGCCTCAGCCCGTGGCCAGCAGCTCCTGCCAGCTCTTGCACCAAACCCGACTGGAACTGCTGCAAAAGAGTCTGGAATCTCTGGACACTGGGTGGAGGAGAGCGAGGAGTAATCAGTGTGGCAGGAGAGATTGCACTTGGCTTTGACTAGAAAATGCTTCCAGCAGCTCCAAATTACCAGAAAGAAGTGGTCCAGAGGTGCCCCCTGGACTGAATTATTCCATGATTTTATGATGTGCTTTCCCTTACCCTCCCTCAGATGAATCAACAATTAACCTGTTTGTAAAACATGTGGTATCAAGCTGGTTCAATGCCTCATGGCATTACCTGTAGTAATTTTATAGCTTTTTGTATATCACATAGAGGAGATGCAGGGCTTTCAACACTTCCCTGGCAAGTAATTTTTTTGGCTTTTCTACTAAACTGCCTGTGCAGTACTGCTACCCTGTTCCTACCTGCCTGGTTGTGAAGTGAGTCCAGTCCAACCATACCTGCCTGGTGTGAGCACATTGCTCTGTTTGGATACAGGTGTGACTGCAGCACAGCTTTGCATACGTTTGGTAGCCAACCAAAAGTTTGGTTGGCTCAGCTGTAACTTTACTAATTCCTAAACTGGTGGGAGGTTTGGGAGAGCGGACAGGATCCTGCCCTCGAGTGGGAAAAGGGTGATGCAACACAGAGCATCCCTGCCAAGCTGCTGTATTCTTAGATATGTCTCATTCTCCTGTCACTGACATTTTTGCATTTTATTGTTAACACATGCAGATACTGACTCACTCAGGACTCTGAATTCTGGCTCAGGCTGAAGTCACCCTTCTGTACCTCTTTTCTGCCAGGTGCCCAGGCATGGACCTCTGGTGCCCCACAGTGCTGTAGAGGTTCCCATCACCCATCCCTCGGGGTGACCCCAGTTTGAAGAACCAACCAAACTTTTCCAGTTGCCTTCATACCTCTCACCCCCCCACAGCTCTGCCACTGGCCAGCAAGCCACGCTAGTGGCAGGCAGCAGTCAGACCATAACCCCCAGCAGGGTACACAGGCAGGGAACACATGGGCTCACCCTGCCCTGAGGATGTCACTGCTGCACCGCACCTCTGCAGCTTCGCACACGCAAGGGCAGGCAGGGATACCAAAGTCCCTCGGTGACATGCGTCCCTGCTGAAGTGGGTACTTCAAATGCCATCCACCTCTTTTCCCCCGCAGCTCTCGTACAAATTTAAGAGCTTGCTTTCAACATTTGGGGCCCTTAAAGGGGTAGCAGGGGCTGTGACCAGGCTGGGAGAGCAGGTCAAATAGTGAAGCACTTTATCCAAAGAGTCCTTTCCCCCTCCCCAGCTTCTGGGGTTTCATACCTGCAGGGTGCCTGACTCGAACAAGAGACAAGTGCTTCACGTGGAAAAACCATCCCACCTCCCTCCTGTGAGGAAAATGAGCGCAGCCTGCCCTTCCTGAGCCGACATCTGAAGTCACCATGTCCTTCCCAAGCCATACAGGTTGGCAAATGCCTGTCAAATTCCACGTGTAAAATGAAAAAGGTAATTGCATGGAGATGAAGGAAAGGACCAAAGCCCCAAGACAGCAGGAACGTCAATTCCAGCATTTTTAAGCTTTCCTGGACCTTATGAGGCACTTGTGTTGCTGTGCTGCAGTCTTTGAGAATTTAACACTCAGTCAAAGGCCACGGAACTGCTTTCCTTATTTTTCTGCTAATGCACGGGAAGCCCGTGGCGACTGGGGGAAAATAAGGAAGAAAAAAGAACAGAAGGTATAAAAAAAGCAACAGGAGAGGTTCAGCTGCGGGAACAGCATGGAATCAGGTGCATGAAAATGCGGTAAAGTACTGTTTTTCTCCGCTAATTTCTACTCGTCAGAGGGCTGCTGCCCGGGACGGCCGCCCCGACGTTGCGGTCCGTTCTGTTCGGGTCCGCTGGGGCGGCTCTCCCGCACACGGGCCTCAGCAGGGAGCTGCTCCGCGGGTGCGCAGCTTCGAGCCGGCGCCCACCGCGCAGCCCCTTCCAGTCTGGCGCGGAGATGCTCGTCTGCGCAGCGCCGGAACCGTCCCGCCGAGCCCGCCCGCGGGCACCTGCCAGCGGCACGCCGAAACGCGGTGAAAAGAACGCGGTGAAAAGAACAACGAAATAAAATGCAAAAGAGACGAGAAAGAGAAGGAAGGGGGAAATAAAAGGAGAAAAAATTATGCGAACTAAAAGTCAAGAAGAATAACAGGGAAAAGAGAGGAGGGAAAAAAGCTACAATGCATCTCCTTCTCCTCGGGCTGCCGATGCCGCCGTTGCCTGCGCGCAGAGGGCCGAGGCGCACCACGGCGGGCGGGGCAGAGGGTCCCGCGGCGGCCCGGGGCGCAGGGCGCGGAGGAGCTTCTCCCGCAGGGCACGGGGCCGCGCGCCCCGTCAGTGCCGGCGTCGTGCGGCTCCGGCCGGGTCCCGCGGGGCGTGCGCCCCGCTCCGCGCCCGCCGCGCGCCCATTGTTCGGCACCGCCAATCCGCGGGCTCTCCCCGCGGCCGCCAATCGCCTCCGGGGGCCGCGCGGTGAGGTCAGCGCCTCTGCGCGCTGACATCACGGCGCGGCCCGGCGGGGCGGGCCCGGGGGGGCGGGCGCGGCCCCCGCCCCGCGCCGCGCGGGTAGTGGTGAAGCGGCGGCTCCGCATCCCGCATCGCTGCCGGTGCGCAGGGGGCCGCCCGCATGGTGGACATCCTCCTCCCGCGGCCGCTCCCGGGCGCCATGGGGGAGCCCTCCAAGAGTAAGTGCGCGCAGCGCAGCGAAACGCGGGGCCAGGGCGGGCGGGCGGGCGCGGGACCCTGCGGGTCGAGCTCCGCGCCGCCGCTGCCGTCGGGCGGACTGACGGACCGCGGGCGCGCTGACAGCGCCGGGAAGGGCTGCGGCCCCATGGCGGGCGCGGGCGGCTGCGGGCTCGGCCCGCGGCAACTCCGGTGCCGCTATTGCCGTTCGTGCCCAGCGCTTCCCGGCCCCGCTGTCCTTTCTGCTGTCCGCGCCGCTGAGCTCATTTCTTTCGGCTGTTTCCATTTCTTTCTCTGCTGCCCTCTGCTCTTCCTTTATTTTTTTCTTTCTTTGGTCGTGTTACCGTTTTCCTTTCTTTATCTCTTTCGTGTTTCAGTTTGTCTTTTTTAAAATTTCTCTTTCCGTTTTTTTTAAAATTTTCTTTCTGTTCTTGTTTAGTTTTATTTCTCTTTCTATCTCTTTGATTCCATGTCTCCTACTGTTTTCATTTGTCCGTGTTTCCATTTTAACCGTCTCTGGGTTTTCGATGCTTTTGTATCTCCTTCCGTCATTCTGTTTTAATATCTTTTTCCTAATTTCTTTCGTTCATTCTTTCTTTGTTTCTTTCCTTATTTCTTTCAAGTTTTTCTCAGCCCTTGTTTTATTGGTTTTGTATCTCTGCTCTGCTTTTATTTTCCTTTTCCAAAATTCTACTTTTACATCTCTGTCTTTCTGCATTTATTTGCCTTGTGGCCAGATTAATTCGTCTCCTTTCATGTTTCCATCCTTTCTGTCCGTGTGTCTCTTTATTTCTCTTTCTACCTATTTTGGAAAAACCCAAAACAAATCAGAATCAGAAAAAATGATGAAGTGTAAAAAAGATAATGTGCTTTTCCCTAATTGCTGACCTCTGCTCTGGCACACTGCTGACTCTGACCGTACCCCGCTCGCTCCCGGCAGGGCGGCCGGGGCTGGCCCTGTGCGCGGGCTGCGGGGGCCGCATCCAGGACCCCTTCCTGCTGCGGGTGTCGCCGGACCTGGAGTGGCACGTCGCCTGCCTCAAGTGCGCCGAGTGCGGGCAGCCCCTGGACGAGACCTGCACATGCTTCCTGCGCGACGGCAAGGCCTACTGCAAACGGGATTATAGCAGGTGACCCGAATGCGCCGGCGCTCGTTAGAAAAAAAAAATAACCCAGACCCGAAAAAGCACAAAAGCCCCTTAAACTCCCCGAATTTCCCCCAACGAAAACCCGACTCTCGGCCGCTGCCCCCACCCGCGGCACCGCCTGGAGCCGCCCCGACGGCGCGGCCGCGGGTCCTGACGGCGCGTCGCGTCCCCGCAGGCTCTTCGGCATCAAGTGCGCCCAGTGCCGGGCGGCGTTCAGCAGCAGCGACCTGGTGATGCGCGCCCGCGACCACGTCTACCACCTGGAGTGCTTCCGCTGCGCCGCCTGCGGCCGCCAGCTCCTGCCCGGGGACCAGTTTTGTCTGCGGGAGCGCGACCTGCTCTGCCGCGCCGACCACGGGCCGCCCCCCGACGGCGCCGTCGCCCGCGGACCGCGCAGTCCCGCGATGCCGCCGGCCGCCGCCGCGCACCTCGCAGGCGGCGCTGACGGTGCGCGCCCTCCCCGCCCGTCGCAGAGCCGGTGCCCGGGCGACCGCCCGCCCCGCGGCCGCCGGCGCACAAGGCGGCGGAGAAGACCACCCGCGTGCGGACGGTGCTGAACGAGAAGCAGCTGCACACGCTGCGGACCTGCTACGCCGCCAACCCGCGCCCCGACGCCCTCATGAAGGAGCAGCTTGTGGAAATGACGGGGCTCAGTCCCCGCGTCATCCGCGTCTGGTTCCAGAACAAGCGCTGCAAGGACAAGAAAAAGTCCATTCTCATGAAGCAGCTCCAGCAGCAGCAACACAACGACAAGACGGTGAGCGCCCGCCCTCCCCAGCGGGGAGGGAGATGTGGGTGGGGGGTTCGGGCGGCAGTCGCGCTGAATCCCCGTGTGCCCGCAGAGCCTGCAGGGCCTCACCGGGACGCCGCTGGTGGCCGGCAGCCCCATCCGCCACGAGAGCGCCGTGCAGGGCAGCGCCGTGGAGGTTCAGACCTACCAGCCGCCCTGGAAGGCGCTCAGCGAGTTCGCCCTGCAGAGCGACCTGGAGCAGCCCGCCGCCTTCCAGCAGCTGGTGAGCCGCGCCGGGCCGTCCGTGGGGCCGCAGGGGACGGGCAGATGCCGGCCCGCCGGGCCCGGTGCTGAGGGAGGGGGACGGGGCAGGGGGCGACCGCGCCAGGCCCTCACCACCGCTGCTCCCCCAGGTCTCCTTCTCCGAGTCCGGCTCCTTGGGCACCTCCTCCGGCAGCGACGTGACCTCGCTGTCCTCCCAGCTCCCCGACACCCCCAACAGCATGGTACCCAGCCCGGCCGAGACGTGAAGCGGCCCGTCTGCCCCGCCGCGGGATCTCCGCATGCCTGCGCTCCCTGCATGAGACACCCGGCCCCGGGCCGCTCCCAGAGCGCCGGACAAACGCCTTTGTTTTTTAATTATTCTTATTTAAAAACAAACAAAAAATATGTTACTGTCGGCCAAAAAAGCACCGGGATCCTCGCTGCCTTCACCAGACCGGAGAAAGAGCCCCCACCCCGGTTTTTTCGTGGTTTTGGTTTTGGTTTTTTTTGTTGTTTTTTTTTTTTTTTTTTTTTTTTTTTCCCCTGCGGATTTCGATGTTTCTTTTCCCCAAAGAAACTCGGATTTCCCCGCCGAAGCCCGGCACGGTGACAGGCTTCCTCGCCCGCCGTTTGTGCTGGGGACGGTTTTTCTTTTCTTTTTGAAAGGGAAAAATAAATCATAAAAAATTCTACAAAATGGGGAGAGACTCCTCCGGCGTGCGGCCGTGGAGCTGGCCTGGAACTTCCTCCACGGAGCCGCACCGTCCAGCCTCATCTCACACCGATGCCTCTCCCGGGCCACGATGCCCGGCCCCGCACGATCGCTGGAAAAATGGGACACGGAAACGAGACTTTTTAACGGGAAAACCAGTACTAATAATGTTAAGTTATCAATGGACGAAGGACAGATTGTTTGCGCCTTTAACGATCAAAAGTAAGTTATTGTTATTTATTGTCAGAGTCAGCGGTTGAATAGTGGGATTAAATATTTTGGACTTAATAAAAAAAAAAAGAAAAGAAAAGAAAAATGGATTTAAACGAAAAAAACAAAAACCAACTAAAAAAAGTCGCGAAAGGGCAGCGAAGGGGCACCCCAGGCGCGGAGCGGCGCGGCCGTACGGATCGGGAGAGGAACAGAGAGGGTCGGGACGGGCACAGCCCCGGCTTCTCCCGCACGGCCTCACCGCACCCCGCTAATCGGCTTTCAGAACCGGGGCCGCTTATTTATAGCCGGGGAGGCGGAGCGCAGGTTTCCCTTTCGGAGTAGCCCCCAGGCTCGTCCGGCCGTGTCTGCACCTGCCGCGGTGCGGGGCCGCCTCGCCTCCTCCCTGGGGGTGGCGGGGCTGGGCGGCGGGGCTCCCCCTGGGCGGCGAGGCGAGGCGAGGCGAGGCGAGCCCTACCTTTCCGCGTCTCCATCCCCCCGTCCAGACCTAGGCGGCGACTCCTTATCTGCCTCTGGCATCACCTGGGAGCGCGGCAGGGCCGCTCCAGCTCCCGCGCCCTCCCCCTTACCCCGCTGCTCAGGACCAGCTCCCCGCGGGATCGCGGGCCCGCCCGAGCTCAAGCCACGGCGAGCCGCCCCCTGACCCCATCCCCGGGCAGCGGGGGAGAGCCGGGCCCTGCCGGAGCCCTCCGGGCTGCAGGGGATGGGCAGCGCGGTGCCGCGGTGGCTCCATACCCCAACAGACTGCGGAGCGGGTGTGCAGGGACCGGGCCCCCAGGGCGAGCTGCCGTCGGGGCGCACGGAGAGTCCCGGGCTGCTCAGCCCGGGGCTGCTCTGCACCGCCGGGACGAGCAATCTCCCGGCTGGGGACAGGTGGGGATGGGGATCCTGCCGCCCTCCTAGCCCCGCCGCGGGGCCCCCGCCGTTACCTGGCTCCGTCCGGGTCGGGCTGGAGCTCCGCGCGGTCTCCCAGGGCTGGGCTGGAGCGAGGCGCGTGTCTCGCCTCAGGCCCGCGCCGGGCCGGGCCGGGCCGGGCCGGGCAGCTAGGGGCGGCGCTGGGGCCGCGGCCCGGGGCCGCCAGGAAGGGACTGTTCTGCTGCCGGCCATGATCACGGTGCTGGTCTACGCTCCGGCACCGGTCGCGGTTCCCGTCCTGCCCGGGTCGCGGTCCCGGTGCCCGCGGGCCGGGATCGGCGGCGGCCCTGCCGCAGCGCAGGGCCGGGGCGTCGCGCGCCCCCTCAGCGCCGCCGCGCTGGAAGCGGCTCCGGCCGGAGCGGGCGCGCGGAGCCTCCGCCGCGCTCGGAGCGCCGCGAGGGCTCAGCGAGCCCCGCTCGAGCCACGCCGAGGCGTTAAAAATGCATGAGGTCTAAAAAATCTGCCTTAGGTGACGTATCCTCAATCCTCAAACCCAAAAAATTATAAGCAAACTTTCTCCGGGGCCAGATCTGACGAATTATTTTGATTTTATTCTGACTCTTTATTACCGAGAAAAACATCTTATGAGTGTTTTATTTTCTCTCTTTCTGTGTTGCTTATGGTGATTCAAACACACCGATGATTTTAACACAGGAATCACACAAGACAGAATAAGTTATTTTATTACAAGATATATAGAACATATTTTCTCTATTTGCAACCTTATTTCAGCAGTTCTGCAGTGCAAGTCCCACCACAGGGCAGAAAACACCAAAATCATGACATTGGATACAAGAACGAAATGAACTCAAATTATCAAAATTACAAAACAGAACTTGGAAGTATCTACAGTACTTATATAAATAGTGCAAATGATATATCTATAGGACAAGTATTTAGAGTATCAAAACCATTTCGGAACAGCGTTTTAAAGAAGGAAGTCAGCAGGAACTGGTCAGTGTGACTATGTTAGGGATTTAAAAGCTAAATACAACTCTTATTTTTTCAAGAAGAACTGTCGAGCTTCTTCCCAGGATTGCCGGGGGAATCTGTTGGAGAGCTCAAGATAATCTTGAGAACTGAAAAATTTTTCTGTTGAAGACAGAACACAAAATTACACAAGTTATTCCCTCTTAAGATAAGATGGCAGTAAAACAAGAATAATGAATGTGCAGCCAGTTTGAGATATTTAAATTACTTTAAGTAATTTACTCCCCTCTCCCTACCCAAATCTCTTCAGACCATGGGGTGACACTTCTGTGGAGCTCACGGCATCTACGCTTGGCTTTAAGAATGGCAGCAGAGGCTCTGATGAGCAAAGGCTTCCATTTGCTAGCTGGTCAGGCTCTGCCTAAGGAACACCTTACATCTTTGCACACTTCATGTTCTTGGACACACCACTCAGCCTCGTTATACTTTGGGAAGCTTCAGTGGTATTTTCTGCTCAGCAGTTTCTTTTTTGTTACCACAAAGGGCTGCAGAGGAGTTGTGCTCCTGACTCCCCAGAGCACGAGCACAAATGCAGCTTTCACTCCTGAGAGCGTGCAGTGACGTGGACAGGACTTCACCGTGCACAGGTTTGAGGGGCTGACCCTCCACGCAGCACCCAGCTATGAAGTTTGTGCTTTCAGGTTTTATTCCTGTCAGTGTGATTATTCCCATTTTTTTGGGGCACACCATCCTTCACATTCAAGTGATATACGAGATAAAAATAATCCTGCCTACGAATTACTAACTTTACTTTTTGCAACTGGATACTGTTTAGAAATCACACTCGTGTTACCACATTTTTGTTTAAAAGTTCCTCCAGTTTGAATAGTGAAAATAAAAAGCAAGTTTTCCACTTGGATTTTAGATGTTTCTTGAGAAGAATCTCATGGAAATACAATCCTGGAAAGTTGGTGCTGCAGACACTGCATGAGTCTGTTTCAGACTGAGATGTCTGATGTTGACAGTAAAAATGTCCATAAAGTTTCTTTCATTTTATAATTTATTTTTAAACAAAAACTTGATGCTTTAGACCTAGAACCACTCACCTCCTAGCAAATGCTGAGGAAATGGTGGTGGATTTCTACTTATGAGGGAGAAACAACTGTCTGAGTGTCACATTTTATGCACAATTCCCAAGACCAGATGCCCATCAACACTTGAATTTCAGATGTCTTTAGCAAGTAACAGCCATCTCAGCTGAGCATCTTTCAAATGTTTAGCCTAGAAAGGTTGACTGTATTTAAAATAATATTTATAATAACTGAGGGGGAAAAAAACCTCACGACTCTTCTGCAAACTGACAAACTTTAAAGGACAATTACAGGACAGTATTTTAGAGATTTTTGGCTCCCTGAGTGCATTGGCATGGCAGCATAGCTTCTGCAACCTAAAACTTTTGAAGGCAGCCTTTGTGTCAGCTAATTAAATATGTGCAGGTACAGTATCACATTTTAAGACACGATACCACATAGCATTGAATAAAGATTAACAGTCTGAATCCCTGACAGACGAGCAGCAGACTGGAAGACATGTATGTATAGGTCAGGATGTAAGCCAGGGAGCCCACCCCCAAACTGTAAATTTACTGTATTCCTTTTCAGCCATGCGGATTCAAAGAACTTAAATCACAGTATCTATACATTTTGCTACCCAGCTGTTACTCTGTGACACTGCAGGGAACGTACCCCTCTGCTGAGATAACTGATTTTCCATTTGGCCTGAGCTCTGTGCAAAATCCTATAGGGGAAAACAAACAAAAAAAAGGCATCAGGTTTTCAGATCTTATATCTGAGAAATTAAAACAACATTTAAAAGTCTTCATAATCATTCAAAAATACCAATACTTCATATAAACTGTAAATTAACAAACTCTGGCTTGTTTGCTACGTTTCATAATACAGTACTGCCAGCACTTAAATTCTGTAATTTACAGTGGATTTTAATACATTTATTTATATCTGTTTCAAAAAATATATTTTTAGTTAATGTCTTCTTAGGAAATAGTTATTATTGTGATTTTTATTAAGCCATTTAACCATAGCAATGTTTCTGTAAAACAAATGGTGTTTCAGATTTTTGCTCCCAACTCCAAATACACTCTTACAAAACTGATGACTGATCCCAATTTCAACAGCTGTGCTTCCCAGCAATCCAGGAGCCTGAGGTGCTGAGGTGCTGGGAGAAGGTGGAGTTGCTGCCCAGCGCTGCTGGCCCTGGCAGCCAGCTGTGCCCCCAGCTGTGCCCCCAGCTGTGCCCCCAGCTGTGCCCCCAGCTGTGCCCCAGCGCGGAGCACCGCGCAATCCCGCTGCTGTCGGTGCTGGGGTGCAGCATCCTCAAGCCAGCACGGACACCGACCTCGCCCAGAACCAGCCCGCTCCCCACTACAGATCCTGTCCTGTGCTGGAGTCTCCACCCAGC